GTGAAAACTGATCTAAAATAAATTATTTAATTTAATAAATTAAAAAATAATATAAATTTATGGTAAAAACATGATATAACTTAAAAAAATTAAAATAATTTTTTTTATATTGAGATGATGTCAGATTTGATCAATTTTGGTCAACTGGTGACTTGAGCTATTGTAAACAAGAAGGGAGAGGGTAATTGTGATCTTGACAGGAGAGAGTGGGGCGAGTGAACTGTGATTTTTGTAGGAGATTTTCATTACAGAGATGAAAAGGAGAGGGAAGATAATTTTCTTTATGTCACTAACATGATTTTTAATGACATAACATACTAATAAATAAGATAAACTATATCTAATAAAATATTATTAATTACAGTTTAAATACCATTAAAATTATCCTAAAACAAACCATTACAGTACACAAACTCGCTTCCCAAAAAACCCAGGGGGTATACATCACGTGACCCAAAATCAATATGTACAAACATTTGAAAATGTTGGTGTTTTTTAAGGGATCTTTTATTTAAAAATATATTAAAATTATCTAAAAATATCAATTTTTTTAATTTAAAATATCTTTTTAAATTAAAAAATAAACACAATTTAGCTGCATAGATAAGCGATACCTTGAAAACATAACAAAAACAACTAACAAAATACTTATAAATATAGTATTTTTTATAAGTAGAAAAAATAGTTATTTTACTACTTCTAATATATTCACTTGTTGTGGTTAGACTATTTTTTTTTAAACATAAAAACATGAATATGTTTTTAATAGTATCGTTGAGTTCAATTAACCAATTTGATCTTAAAACTTGCCAACTCGACTTTTTATATAGCTTAAATTTTGAATTAAATTGTGTGAAAACTGATCTAAAATAAATTATTTAATTTAATAAATTAAAAAATAATATAAATTTATGGTAAAAACATGATATAACTTAAAAAAATTAAAATAATTTTTTTTATATTGAGATGATGTCAGATTTGATCAATTTTGGTCAACTGGTGACTTGAGCTATTGACTTCAATGAATTTAATAACTTTGTTATTTTTATAAATTATTTTTATTTAATTTTATGATAATATTAAATATTTTCAAAATTGATCACTAATCTTGAAAAAAACATTTATTTAACATTGTGATAACCTTATCGAAAATAGAAAAAAACTATGAATTTCATTTTTTAACCAATATAATATTAAAAAATAAATGAAATAAAAAAATAATTAGAAAAATTAAAATAATAGAAACTAAAAAATTAAATCAGATTTGATGGGTAACATGCTAAACTAGCGAATTGGGTAAGCCGAGTCAACATGTTAAACCCGTAAATTGAGTAATAAACTTCATTGAAATTAATAATTTTTTTTCTTCTAAACTATTGTTTATTTAACTATATAATAAAAAAAACAAACAATTATAAAATCAAGTATTAAATCAATACTAAGACTTTTTAAAAAAAAAACTACGATAACTTCTCAAAAAGTAAAATAAAACAAATTATAAAACTTAACTTTCAATCAATATAATATCAAATGATGAAATAAAAAAATAAATTAAAAAAAGTTAAACTCATCGTACCATCAACAAGCTCATGAATTTTCTAAAATTTAATAATTTATTTTTTAAAAACTATTCTTTTAACTATATGTTAAAAAAATAAATAATAATATAATCGAGTTAAATTAAAAAAAATAGAAGAAGATAAACTACAAAATGGGACAACTAAGATTATTTCGCCAAACTTATAGTTTGGATCATTGATTCTAAAAAATTTAATAAACTAGCTTTTTTTAAATTATTTTTTATTTAACTAATTTTTTTTAAAAATAAACTATACTCCAAGGTTGAAATATTTTTTTGATATCAAATCAATATTAAAATATTTTTTTTGTTACTACCAAAATCATATAAAACTCAGGTTAAAATTTTTAACTTTAAAGTATTATAAATATATTATATAAAAATTAAATTAAAAAATTAAAAAAAAGATAAAAAAACTATAAATTACTATTTCCCCATTCCTTTTAGTTTTATACTTCCTATCTCTAAGAATTCTTGCTAAAAAAACCGAATTGAAAAAAAAAAGCATTATTTTTAGAATTTAGATTAAAAAATGGCAACCTTCGAAAAAGTAAACTCCCATTTTCTACTTTCTCAAAAAAGAACTCCCATTTTCTACTGTTCCGCGGCAAATGCCATCCTCACCTCAACGCTCTCTACCATCGATTAACTAACTTTTTCGAACCCCATCCAACGCTCCAAAAACTCCACGTCGGCGATCCGTGTAAAATCTCAGTAACCAATCACACAACCACATCCTGTTTCTATAAACCATCCCTACCCAACTCTTTCCACAGAACGCAACCTCCCAAAAAAATCTCCTCCTCTTCCTCTAGACTCCTTGCAATCAAGCTCTCTCGAAATGGCACCAAAAGCCGAGAAGAAGCCCGCCGAGAAGAAGCCCGCTGAGGAGAAGAAGACGGTGGCAGAGAAAGCCCCGGCAGAGAAGAAGCCGAAGGCAGGGAAGAAGCTTCCCAAAGAAGGAGGCGGCGCTGCTGCCGGAGACAAGAAGAAGAAGCGGGTGAAGAAGAGCACGGAGACATACAAGATTTACATCTTCAAGGTCCTAAAACAAGTTCATCCAGACATAGGGATTTCCAGCAAGGCTATGGGTATCATGAATTCCTTCATTAATGATATTTTCGAGAAGCTAGCACAGGAATCCTCCAGGTTAGCCAGGTACAACAAAAAGCCCACTATTACCTCAAGGGAGATCCAGACGGCTGTGAGGTTGGTGTTGCCTGGAGAGTTGGCCAAGCATGCTGTTTCCGAGGGTACCAAGGCTGTTACTAAGTTTACGAGCTCTTGAATTGTTGTTGTGATAAAGTTGGGTTTTCCCTAACCATGCGTGTTAGTGTTAGGGTTTATAAATTGTAAGCGGGGGAGTTTGGATCTGCGTATTTACTCAAATCCTTATTCATTGCTTGGAGGCATAGCAACTCCTTCCCCTGTTTCTTCATGTATCTGCAAGAACAAAACAAAGCATAACCAAAGAAATTCCTTCCGTTTACCAATTCTATAGATGAAAAGCCAAAAAGAAAATTGATATGCACCTTTGTCACAAATTTCAATCATGCCATCTCCTCACCATATTTGGTAAAACGTGCTTTTCAATCTGATTATATGACTATCAACATCTGTAACTTCGCAGACTCCCCAAGGAATAGCAACCATGAATTAAGACGGGAGAGATTTTTTACCCAAAAAGAATAATAATAACTGGGAAAATGGTTATGCGATCTGGTAGGTTTAGCTCGAAACTCCAAAGCTTGGCAGTGATTTCCATGGACACGCACCTCATTTATGGTAAATATGGTTTCCATTGTACAGGTCTGTTGATAGGATTAAGAGCAATGCCAATTCTAAAATGAATTCTATGCGTGCAAGGATAGGTTACTAAATTATGAAGAAAGCAGGGTTGACCGGATGGAGATTGTTTATGCGATATTTAGACTTCAGGGGCCATCAGAAGAGATAACTGCCAAACAAATCTGATCATTAAATTTGCCAAGTTGAAATAAAAAGAAAAGGACAAAAAGAACTCAAATAAAAACATTTTTTTTTGTTTTAAATTAATTTTTTAATATTATATTAAAATCACCGCTCATCTTCTGGCAAACACATATCAATTTACCCAAAGTATTTGTATTATTATTAGTAAAAGTAAGGTATGCTAATTAATTTAATATGAAAAATAAAGGTATTCAAATAAAAAAATATTAAATACATTAACATCTCAAATTCCCTTAATTTGAAAGGAAAATCACAATTCTAGGTTTGTCTTTGTGATAATGTCCTAAGACAGTCGATATTTATGAGGATTCAAACTTACCGAGTAAAAGAATGTTTTACATCTTAAATTACTTCCACAAGTAATCTTTATTTGAAAAGCATGAGCAAATTCCTCAAGTAAAGCTGTTTTTATTTTTTATTTTTTAAATCTATTTTTATTTATTATAGTAGGTAAGCTTGGAAAAATTTGATCACAAATACAAATGGTTACCTAATTTTTTTATTTATTAAAATCACGAATCAAATAATAATCCACTTGTTTTTTAAGCTGCATGTCGTCTACTGTTCAATTACTGGCCTGTACTGAAGGAACGCCGTTTGCTGGTTCCCCGCTGGCTCCGCAGCAGTTTCACCTTGTCTGGACTTTGAAGAAGAAGATTGCAAAATGAATGGGCTTCCAGCATCTTGTCAGTTGATCATCATCGTACACAGCAAATCATGAGTTCAAAAGTTTGTTTTTTTCACCCTTTGGTCTTGTTAAAGATGGTAAGAGCATCTACAATTGAGAAGCCACGTGGATAGTCAAAAATAAAAAAATTAATATTTTAGTATTTTTTTGTTTGTTTTGCACACTCTAATGGAAATGGTTACCTAATTTTTTTATTTATTAAAATCACGAATCAAATAATAATCCACTTGTTTTTTAAGCTGCATGTCGTCTACTGTTCAATTACTGGCCTGTACTGAAGGAACGCCGTTTGCTGGTTCCCCGCTGGCTCCGCAGCAGTTTCACCTTGTCTGGACTTTGAAGAAGAAGATTGCAAAATGAATGGGCTTCCAGCATCTTGTCAGTTGATCATCATCGTACACTGCAAATCATGAGTTCAAAAGTTTGCTATTTTATTAATTTAGCTTTTCAAAATAGTATTTTGGACTGGAGATGCTGTGAGAGATTTTCCTTGGATGGTAAGAGATTTTCCTTTCTAAGACAGCACCTGAAATCGTTTACTCATTCTTCATGTTTTTTCTTGTTATAAAACAAATTTGATTGTTTGTGCAGCTAGGCTAGTTGTATACCCAACAACTCAAAAGCCAAAAGGGTTTGGTTTTGTTACGGTTCGAGTCAGAGACTGATGCGCACAAGGCATTGGAGCCCATGAATGGCAGGGTATTTCTTTCTTTCTTCTCCATTTTTTCCATGTTTAACTAATAGTAGTTTATTAGATATTCGATAAAGGAAATTCTTCTCCATTTGTTTTTTTTTAATGTTTATCTGGTAGTAGTTTATTCGATATTGGAAAAAGGAAATTGGGTTTCTCCAGCAATGGATAGGCTCTCCAGTTTTTCACTTTACTTTTGTATCCAAGTTGGATGCAAGAACTTCCACTCTTTTTTTAAGCTTTTTATAGTGGAATAAGCCTATACTTCCTCAGTTCTCTGTTTTCAAGGTGTATTTCCCTCGTTTTCTTCTGTTGATGCCTTAACATTAGTTAATGTTATGTAATGAAAGTCTTCATTGAAATATACTACCTACTTGCAGTCTACTTGCTAGGTTGAAGTAGTTGCAAATCAGTTGTTGGAAATTAGGCAACGGAGAAAAGACTGTAGATTTTGCCAGAACTATTTGGTTCTAGGATGTTGATTTTCCTCCTCCTCTGCTCATTTATGGCGGTGAGGTTGCAGGCCTGCTAAAATGGAGATGGGTCTTGGTCCTCTAAGAAAGCCTTTATTCTAGACGCTTTAGATCTTTTCTATAAAGCAAATATAGCATTGTTTAAGCATCTTAGATGATAATTCTTGTGAAGCCTGTAATATGGATACACATGCATACATATAGAAGAAGAGACTATTATGTTTGGGAACCTGATTAAGTAGGCTGCTATTACTGTAGATAATTTAGCAGCAAAAGATACATCAAGATCCATTAAAATGGTTTCAATCTTGACCACCGTAATGGTTATCGAATTAACTTGATGCCCTTTTCGTCTTTCATGCGTTTATATATTTTTGTTAATGGTTATCGAATTAACTTGATGCGCTTTTCATCTTTCATGCGTTTATATATTTTTGGTATGTTTTTCACAGTGTGGTGTTTCAGCCTCAGATTTCTTGTTTGAACTTCTTATTGTTTGATTTCTGGAAACTGAAATGATGGAAAGCTTAAGTGTTCCCTCTGTCTCTCTCAGACTTCTTTCAGTTCTTGGATTTAAGTCCACTTTAATTTTCCTCAAGTTGCATACAAAAAATTGAAACATCAGCACCAATCTTATTCTGTCAAAACTCATCATATTACTGCTTTTTATGCATGATTAAGTTGAAAGGGTCATTGCTCTTGTGAAGTATGCGACTTAAAGCATTGACAACACTTGTTTACCTGATTTTTCACTCCTGCCATTTTGGTAATTTTTCATCTGTTATTTTTTTTTTCTGTTTTGGCATACAGATTGTTATGGAAGACTGATCTTTGTTGAAGTGGCAAAAAACATGGAGTGATCGAGTACGATTCTCTTTTATTTCCCCAATTTTGTTGGGTGGTTAGGAAACCAAAAGGGTGAGCATGACCAAATGTTCCTACAAGCGTATTGCAAGACAAATTAGGACTCTTGTAGAGAGAAGAATTTGTAAAAGGAGAAAGTTAATGCATTTGATTTTATACTTTGCCTAAGCACTTGATTGTATTCATGCTTTTGCCTGAACGAGCAACTTGACTTAATGATTGTAAAAGGAGAAGTTACATTATTGTAAAGTTTGCTCAGGTGCCAGGGTTCGTGATCTTAATTTAAAGTTTTATCCCCAGTATTACCAATAAAACGAAATTGAGTGGATTCCAGTTAACAGAATCTCAAAAGTTGAGGGCCCTCGGCGATGGCACCGCTCTTCATCTTCATCTGGTGCAAGGCAATTCTGCATATATCAACAATGAAATGTTACCAAATGAAGAGAACTGTTTATTTCAGTGGGCAGAGGCTGAGAACTGTGATAATATGCTACCTCATAGACTGTGTAATGGATTGCATTATTAGAGGACCAATTTGATAGATTTTAACTTTCACCACAGAATACAAGATTCGAACCCTTTCTTGGCTTGAGAAACGGTTACTGTCACACGCTGCGTTTCTTGCATTTCAAATGTTTCCTTTGCCCCAGCCAAGATGCCTTGTTTAGTCGACTGTGTATCCATTTTACACTCCATGTTTTGCCTCAAGATCTTTCTCTTCATGCATCATTTTTTTAAAAAAACTCTGTTTTCTTCCTTGTCTTTCTTTGGTACCCAAATAATTTTTTCCTCCCAACAAAATGATAGCAAAACTTGCTACACATTTAAACTCATAATTATTACAGTGCCTGCGGCCGTCTCTTCCAGTTTCTGTCACGAGTATGATTACCAGCGTTGTCATTGTCATTGCGGGTACATTCAAGGGAAATTCCTCAAATAGTTGAGAGCCATCTTGATGTTTGGATACTGTGCAATTAGTGGGAGGTTCTGGAATCTCAAGTGTAAAGAAGGCCGATTCTGAGTGTTTGCATTTTGGAGCTTTTAGGTTATGAAGTAGCCAGCGATTGAAGTACCAAGGGGTCAAATGGCTTTACCAATATAATGGAAATTTCGAGAACAGATTACGGGAAAAGTAGAAGATGTTAAATAAAGAAGAGTTAGATTGCGTGAGAGATTGCGGAGAAACGGAAGGCTTTGAAATTATGTGAGCTAACAATTTAGGATTCTGCTAATCCTAGAAGGAGAAGCTGCTGGGCATTTCAAGTCTGAATCCATCCATTTGTTAAGATCCGCCGCATCAGGTTTCTGGTAAAGGGAAATGGATAGAGTGTCACCAATACACACCGTTCCAATTCTCATCCATTCTTTTACCTGTGATTTGTTTAACATGCAGTATACCAGAACTGATGGCATAGGGCAAGGCTTGCGGTGTTCAGAGTCCTTGCCAGCCTACTTTCTTCAGGCAAACAGCGTTCAAATAGGAGAGGGAACCACCACCAGCACTGCTCTTAGTAGCGTGCTGGTTTTCAAGTTTTATCAGTCACACCAGGCATGGTAGTTGGTACACTACTGGGCATTTGAATTTTGAACACATCTGAAAGTGAACACAGGTCTCAAATTGCAGCACGCCCTCCCCCCTTAGAGTACAATAACCAGGGAACTCCAGACTAGTTTCCTACAGGGTAAAACAATCTGCTCCATCTCAACCACCCTGAAAACTCCATTAAGAACCTGACTAATTTTCCACTCAAAGAAACCGAGTCCCATCTGACCAGAGCTTCAAACAACATCAAACTGGGTAAGAAAGAAAGAATGAGAGACATATAGAAGTAATAAAAACGTTTCTTTCTTTCTTGACATGTTTGAGGAACCATTTCAAGGGAGGATGATCATATAGTTTCTAGTTCTGGAAGATGATCAAGAACATGTTCTTGTTATCTTGACACGCAGTAAAGTAGTTAAAAAGTAAAAGAACACATGATGATTGGGTTTTCATGGCAGAAATGTTGCTTGTACAAGCACACTGATTTTAAGGTTATGTTTATCGGGAGAAAAGTTATTTTTTAAAAAAAAAAAAATTTTGGAGAAAATGAATTTTTGGAAAGTGAATTCTGGAAAAAATAAATTCCTGAAAAGTAAATTATTTTCTGATATTTGGTAGTGCTATGGAAAATAAACTGGAAAACACTTTTCAGTATTTGGTTATGTTATGGAAAATAAACTGAAAAATAATTTATTAATATTTTATTTTTCTCAAGTTTATTAAAATAATGAGGAACAAATCTTACAAATTAAAAAGTTGAATAATAATGAAATTGAAAA